GAATACCCTAATGCTTACTCTAAAAATGAAGATATCCACTGGTCCACTAGAAATCGAGAAAGAATCCAGATGTACACCTACATCATACATATGGAAAGAAGAGAAGAATGATTTGATTGATTGATGATTTTGATATTATGAATACTTTTGTTCTTAATCCCACTGTGGAAGAAGGCACGTTTAGATTAATTCTTACCACACTGCTTCACTGACATACTTTAGCCTTAGCCTGACTCGAGGATCGAACCCGAGACCTCATTCTCTAGTCTCCCTCACAACCAGCTCCGACAAGAAGTTGAAGTTACGAACAGAAACTACTATCCAGTCTATCTAGTTCATAAAGCGCTGGCATTCAGTAAAATTACGAAACTATTTCGTCCAGTTTAATAGAGGAACTGTGCACACAAGTGGAGCAGTGCAGGTCAAGTTCGAAGAGATGGGCCAATCAGCGCAGAGTGCGAGAGAATCTCCTGTTAGAGCAGGACAACAGGTGTTCCCCAACAGGTTTGAGGGATGGTTCCGTTAAATTTGTATCACTTTTGCTATAAACGCCTACATTCTCTTCATCAGAAAACTGGAGTGAAAAACTTTTGCTCCATATTGTGAAGTTATTATCTATCTTCTGTATGAGTGTTTGGGTTTATGTCAGCTGATTCAGTAGCATGGCTGGTAGTCTGCCTTCTGTATTACATGGGATTTATGATAAAGCTTCTTACTCTTGTGTGAGCTCATCACAAAAATTTTTACAATCGTGGTGGGTAAGAAAATAGATAAAAACTCCTTGCTTGCAATTCTTCTGAATTGTAGAATTTTCTTCTGCTTCTAGTATTTTGGTTAGTGTTAATGGTCATGTATGTGTGTTAATTTTTCTTCATGTCAAGTGGTTTTTCAAAGAGCGGTTTTCTCAATGTAAGTGTTATAGGTACTGTGAGGAGTTTGGAAACAGCAGCTGACTTTTACGTTTATGTATGTGATAAATTGTAGCTGCCATTTGTTTGTGTATGTATTTGATAATTTCGAGTTAATTAGGTAACTTATGTTTGGTAAGTTTATAGGATATGAAAGGAAACGACAGAAATATATTTTTTTGGTATATTTTTTATGTTTTTATAACAAGTAGTTCCAATAAAATTTTACAAGTTTATTTTGTACAAGTTCGGAGTATCCTCCTTTTATTGAAACTCAAACGCATCAGATATTTAATAGTGGCATAAATTGCGGAGAGTGCTTTTTAGAAAGTAACAGGGCATATACTAGCGTTCGTTGATCTGTACGTCCGTACGTCGATCGTCGCCACGAGACAGAACCACCTACGTTACACACACACTTCATGTGGTCGGCGCCCATTACATTACAACCAACTCGGACATGTGCTCCACAGTTCGTCACTCTACTACAGACACATACATCAATATAAAAAAATATCACTATCACTCTAAATCTTCTACCGCGGTATTGGTTCGAGATCAGTATCAAAATACCAATAACACTAAACGAAACGTCCGACACTCATAATATACTCGTAGCTGACAATATCTGCAGTAAAATGACAAACTAACAAAAGAGTCATTAGCAACTGGACATCTCTAGTGCTTTCTATGTCCCCGTCGAATCAATCCGATACCATCGATCCCTTAACAATTAATAATATCTCGTGTAGATGATAATAATATAATGTATATAACCAACTTTAAAAAATCAATTCCAAAATCAATCATATCCTGTTATATACCTCTGTTCCGAATCGAGTTGCTAACCACTCTTTTACATTGTACAAATTATCTTAAAGTAACTTCGGACGAAATTTTTGTAACTGCATACTATTCCATCGCTTTATTGTTGGCACTGCAACCCTGGCGTAACGTATTTCATATATCATTACAGCATTGAAAGTGGAACATGTGACCATTTTTGAACAGTGGAACATGTTACAATTTTGATTGCTACGTAATACTATTTAGGACGCAGGGGGTAACTCTGGGAGATTTATAATCTAATACATCGAAACGTCTCAGTTCAAATTGCAGGAAAATTACAGCCATGTTGCAGTCTTTTCTCATCGTATTGTATTTAATCCTTTGTAGGATTAGTTTCTCTGCAACGGCAATGAAATAATTTATGCCAGGGTTGACTTTGCGGAGGCCTGCCAAAATTACAAGAACTAGGTGACGCTTACATTGCATTAAGGTTGCATTACTACACGATTTGAAAATATCTTTCACCAGGGTATTTATTCGTCAATTCGTACGTCTCAAGTTCTATTAGACAATGCTTTTACAATTATATAAAAGTTATTTAGATTGGTTATAATAGTAATGGGCTTTAAGTTCAATCGATCCAATGCTTACCACTTCGATTTTATCTAATTCTTCGCAACATTGATATAAATAATCATATAAGCTTTGTAACGAAACTAATATTCATCTATAATAATTTGACTATACATAGATTCTATATAAATATCTTAGGTTCAACGATAATTTTTGCTAGAGGGATAATTCAACTCATATTAAATATTTGAATGTTCAACAATGTAACGCAACAATGTATTACAATTCTGCCTATATTACCAAGAGTCAACGCAATATATTATTTGAAAATGTAACATAGAATATTCAAAATGGTAAAGTTGTTGCGTCCGTCGCATTGGCTCGACTGAATCTTGTACAGATTTGTACTTATATTAAATTTATTTACAAGTTACTCGCTATCGCTTGCCCGAAGATAAACGGAAACATATTCCATGGTCACACGGGTCGTTGAGTGTAAACTTACCTAATGATACGGTCATTATTGTGTGCACATTCACAAAGATCACAGCCTTCAGAAATGTAACTAAAGTAGTGTGATGCGCACTGATCGGTAACGATACATTAACTTTAATTCGACGGTAATGTTACATTTACGAATAATTATTGAATTGTTTATTATTTATTGACTTCATTATTTCAATCATAAATTAAATTTACGTCCCTTTAATGTACTTCTCAGTCTAATGTGACACGGCATAATGGCGATGTTACATTTACCAAATGTAACCTAAATTATATAAAATAGTAAATTACAAAAATTAATTACAAATCAGTACGCTTGTTTCTTTCCATATGCGTGTGTAAACTGAAACCTCGTTTGTGCGTTGTTTAGTACAAACTTGTGCTAAATTTGCGCGGACTTCGGTTTCGAACAATCTTCGGGCTTTCGACCGTAAAACTATAATAACACCGAAATATCGGAACAACCAATAAACGTTGCTTTAAGTCTAATTTATTTTATACTATTTGATTTCGAGACACAGTCTCTATTGCTATCGCCAATAGCATCCGCTATGAGGTCTAGCGACAATAATTTCTGACCCGTTGGCCCTACCGTCGGCGGCACCGATCTCATCGTGTGCCGCCCACTAACATAATAATAACATTTATTCATAAAAATATAACTTACAAAAAATCTACTGTGACTTATTACAATACAAAAATGTCGAATGCTACACCAATTAAAAATTACATTCCCATCTACTTATTGCTTATAAATTAAAAATGACATTATTGTTGCAAATTGTACAATTATATTTTTTATTATTATTTCTTATTATTTTATTTGGAAAATATTTTAGTCTTATAGTTAATTTAGAATTAAGACGACCTCGGGATGTGTGACACGGCCGCGACCGCGCGGGTAGAGGCGGGCGCCGCGCGTCCGTGTAAGACACCCTAAAATCTATCGATTTATTTAATATCCCTCGATTGCGAGTTTTGCGTTAGCCGCGCGTCACGCGACCTACTCGAGACCACACATACACGAGATGACAAATCATTTGAGCCAATTATTGCGTTAAATGATAGCAGTCATCGTCAGCGACGTACAACACACATTTTTTAATATTAGGCCGTGCTTACTGCACCAATCACGACACACTAAAGATCATCTTAGTCTTAATAATATTGAATTGAGCAGTATACGAACGCACGGACGCACAAATTGACTATAACCCTGTAGTAACTACTGAAACCTAACTAATAAGTAATTAATTTTTCTCTTTCTAGGGGCGTATAAGTTAAAAGCATTACATTATTAAAGTCTCCACAAAATTGTATAACTTACTATAACGCTATTCATTTTATTCTTCAATTAAAAAGATAATAATTTCTCTTATTATCTCTTATGCTGAAAAAGAATGTGAACATATTTAGAATCCAACAGAACATTGTGTATATCAGGTTATATTTTGCTATGTACCGTACAGATATACTTTCACCTTTATCGTAATCAATTCCCGAATGCAAACTAGTGCAATCTGTTCACTGTTACTGTTCAATAATATCTCTCTATTACATCTGTGTATATTAACTAATAATATCTGTCATCTGGATATGACTTCATATTCATTTGTATATAACAATAATTTATGAGTAAAAAGATAATAAAAACGTTTGTAAAATAATATAATTAATATATATTTAGATAAATTTAATAAAAATCAACAATACAATAAAGTCACAGCATGTATTTACATGTTTCTATACATGTTCGTGACGTCACGCCTCACGGGTGACGTCAGCACAAGTACAGTCACCGTACCCATTTTAAGTGTTTGACTCTACATACGATTAGTTGGCTCAGAGCAGTGCGTACAGCGTACAGCCAGCCAGAAACACGCGTGCCCTTCTCTCACGTCTGACTAGCTCACTCTCCAGTACTCGATAAAAATCTACTATTTTATATTGAACCTCACGCGCGCGCCGTCGCAACATTCTTATCAGTAAATTTATAAATAGGTATCGGAAGCTATAATCTGTAGACCGTAATTACCGAACCCCAGACCCTAAAGTACTCAATAAAATTCATCATGAGAAGATCTAATTAAAATGGGTACAAGAAACGATGGCACTTTACAGGGTACCTATGCATTTTTTTTTCATAAATTATGTCATAAAATGACGACTAAAGAACTATGTATGTTTAATTTACGCCGTGACTTATTTACTAGTTTCGATTTATACCTAATCACATCGATTTAGAACATTTGTTGTGTGGTAGTAATGGTGGCACGGCCGCCGGCCTGACGTCTTAGCCCATGAAACAAGAAGCTGGCGGCGGCCTTGATTGGGGCGACTAGCGGCGCCCTCGCAGCGGTCTCCCATTGTCAGACATTGCCTGTGGCGGGGAACCTCGGCGGAGGCAGCGGCGGCGGCGGCCGGCCCGCCTCCCCCGCACCCGAAGACTGCTCCGATACTGAAATGCATAGCTCGGTTATCCTCAGGACCCTCTCGTCTCAGCACTCCAACTCAACAACATTCACGCTATTCATAACTCATCAAGGTTCTACTAAGAATTCTTTGTTGTGAGCTTAGTATGCTGTCAGCACTAACATATCCCAGACATATTCAGACATGTTACAAGTATCAGTCAGATGTGCGCTTGTAAATTCGAACGTTTATCACTTAATTGCAGCCTTGAGGGAGACTCAAGTGATAATTTTGTTCAGGTTTTAATATTTCCAATAGGTGTGTAACTCAAGAGAGTATCATATTACTTATCTGACCATCAGTCAGTGGTCAGGTAATCTTATAGAGCGCTTTCAAGTCAACTGATGATACGGAATAGAACACGACCTAGTCTTGCAAGCGGATGGAATTTTGTTTAGTAAATAACTGCATGGCGGCGTAAGAACAGGTCAGAACATTTTTATGACAGCTGAGGGCTTGTCTGGCTTGTTCTACGCCTTACGATCAATACCTGGTTAGGCTCAATGAGCAATGATGGTACTTAACCCAAGAGTATCCTAGATATAAGTTAATAACCTATTCCATTTCTTCTCAGCGGCTGTTTCTTTTCAGTGAAATTTTGAAGTCTGCCGATATATCAGCGGGCCAATGTGACGTGTTGTCGGCACAATGTGAACACCCTATCATAGAAAAATGTGTTATATTATCCAGTTCATATAAACACACAGGGATACCTCAAATTAACTGGCACAACTTAAGTAGGTGGCCACACATGTCGACCGGAACAAAAGCCTGGAATTTTTCTTCTACAAGAGTGGCGAGTGAAACTGTACTGATACAGGAGCGGAGTTAATACTAACAATGCATATTTACTATATAAGGTAAAGGTGATTAAGGAATGCCATCTAAAACTGCGATAATGAAGGTAAATATAGGTAACTCATATAAACTATGTAGCACCACTTAAATCATTGCCAAATCACTTGAGGTAGCCCCATTATATAAATTTTCATAAAATAACACATCCAGTCTGACAGAACACATAGCTTTGCCCACACCAAGAAGTCGAGAATTGACAAACATAACATACACAATAAAACCTACGAAGGTCAAGAAAATTGTTTAAAAGTAAAACTTAGGACAACTTCAGAAGGTATTGTCGATACTAAATAATAAAGGGTAAAGGGAAGTACTACAGAAATTTTAAGCATTGAAGATAGGTCATAGCATATAGATAAAAATGGCAAATGCAAAAGGCTTATAAGCTGAGCACGAGCGTCTCACAAGGCAATTATCTGATGAAAGACGATATATACGAATCATCTCCCACACTTCTATACAAAATACAATCCATAACATGATGCATCATCAAAATTGCCTCGTTAAGAGAACTGACATCAACACATTATTTCATAACAACAGAACATGCCAACACAGGTATACATATAAATATGTATGTACATCGATGACTGTGAAGTACAAAAGCATGTTCAATGAAGTGTTTCATACGGTGTCACAATTCATATAAATGGCTGTAAATTCAGTATTAGTAAAATAAGGATGTAGTTCTGTTGTATCTAAAGTCAATTATGGTTAATCATAAAGACAATTGGAATTATTATTCTCCAAATATTATTCTCGGAGAAGACAACAAATAGAGGGCAGATACGAAAATTGTTACGCTTTAATAAAAAATGCAACTTCAGACTGATGAAAGTCGTAAAGATAGCGTTGCAGTCGCGGAATGTCTATAAAACGGGAATGTTCACTCCATTTATGGCTTCTCCTTGCTATGTAAATGTAGGCGTCATAGTGATGTGAATGCGGTGACATAAAGCGTGGTACTTACGCGAATCGTGTTTCTCGTCAACGGGGGCGGGGGGAGGCGGGGGTGGCAGCTGCTGTTCCAACGCGTTCACGCAGTTCATCATACTCCCGTAGAGGCGGCTGTCGCGAAAACTGTCCCTGCACACAGTCTCCAATCATCCCCTTTGACCGATTATGTGAATACCCCCATGTTTTCATGATTTTCATTCTTCAAACATTTATTTGATCATCATTCGTCATGATGATAGACACATTTGTTTAGTTTCGACAGTGTTTTGATCATGTAGTTTTTATTATTGTTTAGTCTAACTTTCTCGTATTCTTTTTGATAGTGTTTTTTTGTATTGTTTTTTGACTCTACACGTAATTTATTTCGTTGAAACACGGATAATTAGAGTGTATCTACGATTTGAGACAAAGATTTACTATCTGGGGTCCCCAGCTGAATTACGTTCAATCAATTATTCTTAAGAGACAATTGATTTTTTTACCCGTTTGTACTGACTGTATTAATGTGTAAATAATGGATGTGGCATGTTCAACACAATTGTAATCTGAAACACAGTGGGTAGGGCGTAGTTCAGCAGCCCTCTCGGTAACAAAGGGTAACACCGTTCGTTCCAGTGGTATGTACATAATGGCATACAAACATCACGTGCATCGCGTGCTCATGAATGACCAGCACCAGTCTGGGTTCGTGCCGTGTCGTGATAATAAGGAAAATCATGAATCATGTGTCATGTAAATGGTAGGACACAGTCAGTGCCAGTAATAATCAAAACATATCAATCAAACAGACGCCGTCTCTTACCTCCCGTTGGAATTCCGGAACAGTGCCAAAATCTCTTCGAAGGTCTTATTTTTTGTTTCAGGAACTTTTTTATACGTAAATATCCAAAAAATTGCAAGGAATACACTAAAAGGCAGGAATGTATAGTTTTCCAGTAGTGCCTGAAAAACAAAAATAGTTAATATTGTACGCAACTAGAAATATAATATAAATCATTACATTTCGTTGGTCATTGTTAACCACAATTTAAGGAATACGTAGTAATCTGTTTGCCCACGGATTAGCTCCGACCCTCAATTTCGTTATTACTTGATTGGAATCAATATTGACAGCAAATATGACTGACCGTAATTAGAAGATCCGAGTGCCTGTATCAATATTAATTAACGGATGGCAATTGGAATCCTATACACATTGTTGGCCAAACACACAAACAGCGACCTACCTTCATGCTAGGAAAGCCGATTCCGACAACGAAATTGGCCATCCAATTAACTAATACGGCGATAGCCATCGCGCTAGGGCGAGGGCCCTGCGAGAACAGCTCGGCAGTGATGAGCCAGGGAATGGAGCCGGGTCCCACGGCGAAGAACACCACGAAACTCAGCGTCGACACCACGGACAAGTAGCTCATCCAATCGATCATTTCCTGCACATAGCCGAAGAACTCCTATCAGGGGATAGAAATGGTGTCCTTTCCCGTCGCCGACCGGATGATGAAATAAACCACAAACATAAATGCACATCACACACTAGTCTGTCCGTGTGACCGCCCGTGCTCCGCGCGATGCGTGGAGTTCTGACTCAGTTGTTGAGTGCAGGTAGCGTAGTGTCGTCCATCTATCGTATGTACTGCGAATGCTGGTGATAAGTGCCATCCTGCTTTTGAGCAGTGTTCGTGTGATTATAAATTTCGCTTCATTTAAAAACGCGTGCGCTGAGCTCCCCGTGAACTTATGCCACATTTTTGTGGTCAACAAAAATAGTGTTTAGTGCTTTGTGAGTGATGTTCCTAACATTTATATTTGAGAATTTATTCCCATTATTTACAATGCTTTCCTACCGAGAGTCCGGTTTCGGAAACAGGAAAGTCGAAGAAGGGGGGGAGGGCTAGCGAAGCGACGAGTATATGTGTCTCAATGATTGTTAATTTCTGTTACTTTGGACAAACCACTGTCAACAACGGATGTCGATGACAATGAATTGCTGAACACAATAACAGATATTAAGACCATTCGAGACATATATACCCGATGAAGCAAATGACAGTGTGTGAGAAATAAACCAGGGATTAAAGATGGGGTGCATGCAAAAGTGTTTCTATACTAGAAGGTAGGTACTACAAGAAAATGTTATAGTTACTAAAGATCAAGTAAGTTTTTATAGAAAATATAATTTTAAATATAAAATTCAACTCTACATTCAGTTCAACATCTGACGAATTGAATGACAGAATCCAAAAAATGTGTTAGTAGTTACATTACTCCACATTGAAAACTGAATTTCTTGCCATTTCTTAAAAAAATGATGTTGAAATTGGCAATATTTTATTAAATGATATCCATAATAATTTCCAAGCACCTTACAAAACTCTATATTGTTATTATTAAATCGCAATATTTATATATATACATATATATGTATATAAATGATTCCTCTTTTCCTTGGTCATGGCATCATGCGTGAATGGCTGGACCGATTAAACTAATTCTTTTTTTGTTGAAATAAATCCTGAAAATGACTTTAGTAGTCATTTTTACATTAACCATTATCCTCATTAGGATGTGTCACACAAATCGTCTTGTGAACTGAAATAAGTAATTCTATAGATATACCAGTAGACAGATATCTAAAAGTCGAAATAAGAGACGAATAATAATTTAATAAATTGATTTGGAAGAGATCGAGCAACCAATTGGGGGATGATAGAAAGTAGTCAATGAAGTATTGGTAGTAGAAGATTTGTATAGATAGAAGGTGAAGAAAGCGATGAGAAAGCGTGCCAAAGCAATATTTAAATGTGTTCCTTGGCTAATGCCGTAGTATATTTTTAATGAAAGTAAATAGTACAAAAAGTCAACCAAAAATTATGAGGAAACAACGTAGTAGCGGCGTCTCGCAAGGAACACATTTGAGGCCAACGTCACGAGTGCGACACTGGCTCTACTTATTCTAGATTAGATTAAATACTTAAACGTAACACTATTGTTCAATATTAATTTTTTGATAATTTTCATATCGTTACTTAGAAACACAGAATCAGAAGAGACCAAATCTTCAAAAATGATAATTTTATAGTATGTTTATCGTTGCTGATAATTACTTGCTGCTGTTTTTTATTTACTTAAATTCGAAAAAGTATATTGATGTAGAATCTGATCATTATTTTTTTTTCTTCATATAGAATAGTATTACCAACCACAATTTTACATGACACACCTTTATTAGAAATGAAATGGTGATGAAAATAGAGAAGATGAACATTCCCCCGAGGCCGTAGAGATGCAGCGTCCGTCTACCAGTGCGGTCCATGAGTGGTAGAGAAACTAAGGTCATGCCGACCATGATGGCTCCGATACCCATTGTTGCGAATTTTGCAGATTCATCCGTCAGGCCCGAAGAAGTGAACAGCGAGGTGGAGTAGTAGAACACCTGAGATGACAATAGAATGGTACATCTTGAGCTACCTTTACATCAACTGATGCTTTTGATTCCATATTAACATATCAGAGAGACTATGATCAGCCTGGAAGATCGCTTATGTATAATTCGAAAGCCACTTACTGCGTTGATGCCACTGAGTTGTTGGGATAACTGCATGACGACGCCAATGAGTAATGGAGCGCGTAACGTTGGAGAACATAGAAGTTCCCTCATTGAAATAGATGCTTCTGCTTGCTGCGCTCGTTCTTCTGCACGCATTTCTTCAATATCTTCTTCAACCTAGATGGGATAAGTTAGAGTTTTACCAACAAAATAAACTGATAAGTCATCAACATCTACTATACATACCTGATTACTGGCCCGTAGTCGTCTTAGAGCTCGTCGAGCCTCCTCCTCCCACTGGCGGGTGATTAGTAGATATCGCGGTGACTCCGGACACGCTGGCAGTAACAATAGTTGCAGTATCGCTGGGCAGATCGCCAAACCTGAACAATGACAATAGTCAGATTATTACTACCCTACCAATTCATAACATCATACTAAAATAGTTTTATAGTCAAATCCCTCCCTACATACATATATAGCGTACAAGAATACTAAAAGTTTTCACAAGTCTGTGTTGTGTTAAACAAAGTAATCTGTCGGTTAGTACAAGCTACAAGCCCATCAACTGCCTCGCGTAATGAAAATATCTCTAAAGCTAAAGTTAAACTGTGCTTGAGGCTTTAGCGTCGTTTGTGTCAACTGCTAACTTGCAAGTTGTCACTAACTTTTAAATCTCGCACCTGCACCGGCAATGTCTCCCAACTTTTACTCTCTCACTTTTCTTTTCATCTCTAATTACTCCAGCCTTTCATTTTATACTTTCAAGGCCTAGGTGTGATAGGTAGATCTGGGTTCATCTTGTTTTACCAGCTCAAAGTTTAAATGCAACTCTGAATTTACTTCTAAAGTTAGTCTTTTGCTCTCTTCTTCATTTAAGTCGGAGACTTGCGGATGAATTAAGTTATTAAAATTGCGAGCTCTTAAATGTAATTGAATTTTTGTATTTTATTTTACTGGATTTTAATGAAATAATCTATTGAAATAGTAAACTGTATTGATGACACTTGCTAAACTTATCATTAGCGTCATTAAAGAGAGATAAGAAAAAAGGGAAGTTGAAACTGTACGATTTAAAAATTTGTGCCGCTCGTTGAAATCTTTGCTTCTACGTTTATGCAGTTTCCAATAGAGTATTTTCAATATACAGCTTTTATAGTAGAATAGTAAGATAGACGGGGCGTTCGCCGCCCACCGCGGCACCGGCCCGCCTCTAGGTCACTACATGCAACTGTAGTATTACACGTCCGGTTTACGTTTGTATCTTTAGCTGTCCAATAAGAACTTTCTATGACGTGCATTTCCGTAACAGATAGTGTTGAATATTTTATCTGTAATATTATTGGATGGCATTTTCCTTTATGGGCGTTTATTTATCATTGCTTTTACGATTTGAGCTTTATTCTCATCGCGATGTAATGCATTTTCGTTGAGCGTTGAAGTCGTATTGGATAGGAGTTTTTGACATTTAATGAAGGAAATGTATTTGATTGGAGAAATGAACTAATGTTACGTTCTTTGCACCAGACTATGAATTTAAAAGCCTGCATGTAATAATGAGTTTCAGCAACCATCATAAACTATGTAGTTTCAGTCTACTGTGTTAGATAGACCTTTTCAATACCATGCCACTGAGTCTTTTAACACACAATTAAGAAATTACTATTTGTATAAGTACTCACAAGTGCCACCGAACAAAGTCGCGAGACCAGTGTTCTTGGGTCGAGCAAAGTGCTAGTAAGCCTTCCAATTTCAAAATTGTTAACACTTATGTTTACTACAGCTTTGTAATAAAAGTCCTATTCTCGGAAATGATGGTGTAACTAAACTATTTCATCTGTGCTCGCTTATCATCCCTTTAGTGTTGCATGTGTACTTAGGTTGCGGAAATCGCTTACCGTCAGACGAGTCCAGAAATTTGTTGGTAATAGAAATGATATACAAAGAGGTACTTACCAAGTAAGATAGGCCATCCTTCGTCGGTACCGAGGATCTGTTCGATGCCCAGGACTTGTGAGAGAAGCAGTCCCACGGTGACGGCCAGCTGGTTGACCGTGCCCAAACCACCACGCAAGTTTAGAGGAGCTATCTCCGATATGTACATTGGCACTAATGATGTGTTTAACCCTAAGACAATAGACAAAATAATATAATAACATAATACAATAAAATTATAACACAATAATTTTAAGTAATTTTTTTACAACTGTTAATTAGGGCTACGATGTTCAACTTTATTTTAATGTATTAAAAGTGAAATCGGTCTGATTATAACAAATGACTTAAAAAAAAAAATTATTCGAAACTAAATACAAATATGTTAAACATTTAGTCTTAACTAACATAATTGCCTGATTGAGAAAACCCCTTAGCAAAACCGAGGCTGCAACAAAAACGTCTTTATTCGCATTCAAATCTTTGCATATTCCTTTTTACCATTCAAATAATACATAGGATCTACTCGTATCGCCATTATTCTCATCAATTTTCAACGGAACTGAGATTCCAACTTTCTAAAGCTTCGAGTGGAAAGATCTTGGATTTCAAATAGAAATATGTTGTACAATACGCTTCGCTTGGTATGCTTTCGAAATGGATGGTATTCGATATTACGAGCACATCCTTGTTAAAGTTCCTGCACTTGGATAGATGTGCTCGAACTTTGAAATTATGTTTTGAAAAATATGTAATATTTGTATTATATATATTTGTATTACTTCCTAATTCTCGGAGAAGAAACGCCTAAACAAACTCAGAAGTCATTGTCTCTTTTAAAGTCGAGACAGTTTATATAATGTTTGAGAACCGTGCAAGTTGATTCTGTAGTGGTATTTTGAGGAAAGATCCACAACAGTTTGAGCGGAACTATTCTGATAGCAACACGGATGTGTCAGTTTCCAATCAACTCAACTAACGGATGTTGCTGAATGATTCTGATAATATGACTACAATACCAACCAAAAGGACATTTGGGTAGTCCACACAAATGCTCAGACTGTCAGAATATTTTAACAGATACCAACGTAAGAAAAAAATCTAATGAAAAATAATGTCGAATAATATTAATGTCAAAGTATATTGATATCGAATTGTATAAAAATGTAACACTATATGTTACAAACATGTCAACACGACCTGTGTGGACGTTACAGCAGGTCGTTCCTTAGTCTGACCACCATCAAGGTAGTTATTTCATAAAATGCTTCACTATAAAGTTTGTCTTTTATTTTTGAATTTATAGACTCTATTTTTGAATATAGCTGAGAATTTTATTGAATTCTAGTTATACAGATCTTTCTTATAGATGTTGTATGTATCATAATAAGATGTATTTTTGTGCAATATGGTGAGGCATACTAAATTACCTGAATTATGAAGCACACTCACGTAACTGTTCGTGAGTGACCGATTATAATTTTTAGGCTATGACCGGCGGCGGATAATTATAAGTGACTTAAACAGCAACACATCTCATGACTGCGTGATGTCTATTACATCGAGTTACTTGAGGTAACCGGAGTTGGTTGTCTCACATCACAGCAGCCATTTATGGCGATTGCTCACTTTCAAACTAACTATCCAGACAGGAAAGAGTTTCTTCAGACACCGATTCTTTAACTGGGTTGTTCGTATTTCATTTGTTAAGGTGTCTATTAATAATGTCGTTGGCAACCAAATCTGGTTTGCCATTTTGTTATCTGTAGAATACACTTACCACAATTGACTCCTATGATGAACCTGCCGAATATGAGGAGTTCGTAGCAGTGTGATATTTTCGTGAACCCCATCAGACTCGCGCCGCTGATCCCGAGAATGTTGTTTAGTAGTAAGCCCCCTTTCCTAGTACAAACAAACTGTGATCAATCATTGAAATAATATTATTGTTAAAGAGGGACTATGTAGCTTCTATCTTGTTCTTTGCTATACAACATTTCAGGTTCAAGAAATCTTCGCGGAGAAATAACGTAAATATCATCAATCCTGTAACTTTTGTAAAAGTAAACAGTAATTATAGTACACGATTCTTTACGAACCTTTGCACAATAATTCTTAAGAATATTTTTATATGAAGTTGCTATCTGAATAATAAGATCATATTTTATCTAACTTCTTTAAAGATTGGTTTTCGCGGCTTCTCACTTTTATATAGAAATAATTACTTAGCTACCGTTGTGTTCTGGACAGGAACAACACAGCCATTATTATGATTGGCCACCGTCATACGGTCTTACGGGCAAACGATCAAAGGTAAACAATGCGCTGTCATTACTAGTGAACAGTGACGTCACTGTGCACTTTCATTACTCAGACGTATTAGGCCAAGCGTACGGCTTTTTAACGCGCGATAAAATTATCGCCAAATTGTAACAATGTCAATTTTTTTTTTTTATAGCGCGGCACTTAAGTTTATGCCTTAACTGGTTGATGGTTTGCTGTGAGTTGGAACTTGAATAGGATAGTTGAACTTGAGGCAACATGAAAGTATGCAGAATAAATAAGTTTATTATAGAAATAGTAATAATATAATCGATCAAAGTATTGAAAACTTTACTATTACTTGTATATAAGATTGATAGATGAAGCATAATCAGAACTACGATTGTCGAAAGCTGATATTCGGCATACATATTTAAACACATCTTTGAGGGGTACAGTAGAGTAACTTTCCCGATATTCTAACACAGATTGACCTAAAAGAATTTCGAAAACGTTTTCCTTTCTCGTTTCCACCCTTCTCCCTCTTTTTTATTTCTGTCTCTCTCTCAGTGCATACAACGTACAAAGTCGCGGGTATTTATAACTTTTTACAATAGACAAAATGAAATAATTTGTTATAATTCAAACTCAACTCAAATGTTTTTTCTGAGAGTTCGAGCTTGTTTAAGTTTCAAAGCTTACCGCAAAATGGTAGCAAGTTCAAACTAAAACTTTTGCACCTACTTTATCATAATGCTTGTTTTAATACTCGTATAATAATATTTTTCTTACCAAGTGTACAAGAAGATGTTCATATTTCAAGTACGAATAATAATATTAACTTGAATTTAGTAATAATTCATGACGAACTTTCCTGAAACTGAATTGAGACATTATTCAGTTATAATACCTACTGTAATATCTCTCAAAATGTAGAATTACGTGTAAAGGTATACAAAATCTGTTTCTAAGTCGGATAAAAGGTAATTTGATTACAAACATCAATTAATGTTTTTGAGATTTGGTCAGTGTAAGATTAGTGTATGAATTATATAGGAAAAACTAATTGAATAATATTTTTAAGGCATCATCAGTAGGAACTGACAAAGTTTATAGCATATAGGCCTACCCCGTTTCGTGTATCGATAGTTTACTCTGGAAGTCTTTTGTCAATCGTAAAAAGTATTCTTTTCTCAAGCGATGGTTCAACTTACCTTCCAAATCTGTTCGCGATCATGCCACCCGAGAATCCGCCCAGCATACCACCGATAGCAAAGATACTGACTGCTATAGAGTAAAGCCTGTTCACCGTGTCGTCTTGGAGGTCCATGCCATACCGGTTCTTGTATACATCCTTCATGAAGTTTGCGATGTTCTGATTTGGGACAAAGAAAACAATTCAGTGAGATATAACGCCTCCAAAGAAGAAAACATAAATGCACATACAGGGATACATTGTAAAGGGAGTAGTGGCACTATATGGAATAAAGAGTCTCATAACACTTTGTCTGAAATGCATTGTTCGATACTTACACTAACGGCTCGATCTGCTATGCGATCTTATATATATAGCGTATCTTTAAAAATTAAAGTATCAATCCGCAAAATAAGTTTCATTACTAATGTTCATTTGGATACAATAGATTATAATAATATAATTTTATCTCTATTACAATAGCTATAACACACATTATACTCGGCTGTCGTACGCAGTTCTGCATCTCAACATCTTAATCAAGCATTCAGGTCAATGGAGTTTCCTCTAACTGGTAATCAGTTAATTGGTTCCCAATATAGCAATGGCAACATATTACTCTACGGTTTGTGCCTGTGAGCCAAGCTTCCATGAAATGTTTGAACTAAATGTTTATCTTTACCAAATGTATGTTCTAGGTAACCAAATCTACCTAGCGTATGTTGTCGTGTTTGACCGAATTAGGCTTCTGATAAAACGGGTTCGTATTATCTTGCCGAAAACGATTAAACAGCAACGCTGATAGATAAAGTAAAAAGTTATTTAGAATTCTGAAAATACGAAACAGAATCAATCATTTCAATCGCACCATCCTTGGGAAAATGCGTAAATCTCATATACAAAACTTTGTACTTAACGCTATCAATCCATTACACCTCATTAGAATGTAATATAGTTCGATACGGAATCAATTAGAATACTCAATACCTGAACTGGAAATCAATCGTCCAGTGAAACGGTGCTTCAATAGACTATTCCTGTCAACAAATTATCACTCGATTTAACTCCAATAAACCTGCAGCGTACACCTGGACGTCTCCTTTCAGATAGTTCAATAACTTGTGTTTGCTATCGAGACGGGTTCTCTAATTGATATACCGGCTCTTTAAGTTACTCGACGGTTGCATCGTCGCCCGTCGACGAGTTTGTGTGCATTTACTTTACAAGTCGGTGAATCCAATGTCGGCACATCGCTTCGGCAAACTTGTTTAGTCCTACCCGTGGACGGCTGTTTCATTACTTAATCGACTTACCAGTTCCTCACTTCTCAAGTTAAATGATTCAGACGAATCGATTCTTCTCCTTATTTCTCCACTAGCTGTATTCAATTTCTCGATCTTTCATTGAATTTTGCATTTCAATTGAAATTTTAATGAATGATATCGAATAAATGCAGTTCGCTGTATTGAGATGATATCCATACAATATCAGTGCTTGAAAATAATGAAGGCTGCGGGTTTCTCAGTTGGTCTGAACTGTTTTTGTTGTTGGTTTCAAGATAACTTGAGAAAGGAAAGTTGCTAGACTTCTTTGCTAGAAGTAGCAGTTATTAGAATTTTGATTTATTATCACTTTCTGATTTCTCAGTGTAACTCTGACTGCGTGGTTTTTTGGGTAAGTTCAAGCATTGTTGACGTTATGTTGATGTTCGTTATTCGAAAACATGTATATGTATTTGAGCTTACGAAAGATACATCATTCAGTGCAGGATACTTCTGTAGTGTCAAGTCATTGCAGAACATCAAGATGTGTCGGTACATCGAATACAAAAAAAATATGGTACATCAAATATTTGTGGACAGCATCTCACCTTGCCAGGAGCGTTGATGACACCAGTGTTGTACCCAAACTGCAGCATACCCAGCACCGCAGCGAGGATTGCATACGACAGGAAGAAGGTAAGGCCCTGGAACAAACAAACTTCATAACACACAAACATAACACATAGGTGTAGTTTGATGAACACATTAACACATTCTGCGAGAAAAGCCAATTTTGAAAAAGTCACTCGTAATACATACATATGTACATCTGATAATACTAAGCATAACCACAAAGTCATCAATTTATACAACTGCAATTGTTATGAATACACGAACACAGAACATAAAGGAAATATATACAGTTACAGACAAACACACGGGGCGACTACAGTTACCTCGAACTGTTTGATGGGTAAGGTACACTGTCCACGTTGCGTCATTTGACGAATGCGCGCATCTTTCACAAAACATAGACGGCATACAAATGACAAATGCTTGCATCTTGCATAAAAAAAATAACGAAGCGGCAAAGTTAAACTCACGTATTGTTCGTGAAGGATGCATGTATTCGTCAAATGACGCACCGTAGATACTTATTCTAAGTTGAAAGGTTAGGTGTATTAACTATTCTTGATGCATATATATCCCAAGCACAGTAATCAGAAGTCCACTCATCAATCAGTTGTAAATTTTTCCAATCACTCTACAGGTAGTAAACTAATAAAAAAGCACTAAAATACTTCCAAAGCTTGGAAAATAATGGAAATTCTACATTTCAATAAAATATGTAGTTATTAAGACAAATTGTCAGTGTTAAGTGGACTGGCAATACCTATTACTGTCTACAAAATAAATATTGACAGGACTGTACAAAAAAGCGTCGGGGAAAAATCTAATTGCCTTCGGTCGTGAAGCAAAGAATAATTACATAAACTGAAATAGACTTCTCTCTTTTCCTTGTAACTTGTTTGAATATTAAAATAAACTATTTGTTGGAAAAATGGGAGACACGTTTTTATACGATTTGAGGAAACTGATTGCGTTGGAGCCTCGTGTTTGGTTAATCACGTTAAAGTATGCACGTTCTACGGCGGCTCACTCCACGTGCTCGGGCAAATTGTAATGAATTATGATTCAAACTGTTTTATATCTCGTAATGATTTCTACAGTTTTTGACGGGTGCAATGATCAATTTTACGCCAATTTTCATTTCAGAAGCAATTGTTTTGAATTATGTAACAAACTCTTGATATCTGAAGACTTGTTTGATCTGAACATGTTGGTTCTACAAGACTGCGATACCAACCTTCAACGGAAAACAGCTTTTGCGAACTGTCTTCGGCTTTGGAACCTTGTGTATTCTACACGATGTCTTGCATCTATTATATGTGTAGAACATCATGACCTCACTTACTGCTGGTGGGTCTACCTTCAGGCAACTAGTAGTGGCGTACTTTGCTGCTCTTCTGATGTCTTGAACCTGTTGGTATCCAATTCATCATGAGTTACCTACCTCTGCTAACGCCCTGACCGTCTGATTGCCTTGAAGTTCCTCCCTCCGAACATTACGTTTCCATCCTTTCTCATCCTATCATTACCATTCCTTCCTTCTTGGCCTTAACCGTGTGTCTTCCATTATTAATGTTAGTAAAATATTCATGCATGATTAAAGTAAAGAGTAAGCCATTGTACAGTTCTAAAATAATGAAAATAAAATTTATTTAATACATTTAAAAAGGAAAATGTATCCTAATAACTAAGTACATAATAAATTAATTATTTTTCAATTACAGCTAAGTACCTGGTCGCGCAGCCTTACTTCTTTGTCCTTGTCTTCCCTCGTCTTTTTTGCTAATTTATTTGATCTGCTTTAAAAGCTATTGTCATTCTTTGCTGAGGCCGGCCTAACTAAATAAAAGCCTAAGCCTAATCTACTTTATTATAGAAGTATCTATTCAGGGCTTTTACTATAAAATATAATTTGAAACTAATAACATGCCGGTAATGACTGCGTACCCGCTAAAGACTAATGTTTTGTGAAACTATCGTTTGGCTCGCTTAACCTCGTTGATCTAAGATGTTGAGTTTTGCTGCGGCTTGTAACTTTGTGGCTCGAAAGCCGAGAGCGATTGTTTTATTTCCTTAAAAGAAACCTCATTTAGAGGTACTTGAGAGTCAAGCAGCAGGAGTTGGTCTCGCAATATGCACTGTCTATAGTCTGTAGGGATACGCAGTATGTGTTGGGTTTGGTTCATGATGCTTGTGTTTCATACCTGTTCAAGCAGTCTGAGTTTCCTTCGCTGCGAGTGTTCCTCGAGTCGGTCGACGTATTCACGCAACTCTTCGATTTCCTCCTTCACTTGCTGCACCGTGTCCAACTCTTGCTTGATGGCGACCATGTCACGTTTGACCTGCAAATTATCTCCATTTACAGCGAAAAATGTAGCAAAAAGATAAAAATCAAAGCCACTTCATCATCTTTCGAAATAGAATTAAAAATATACTTTTCGATTGCTTTCGCCTGTACGGATACTGAAGGAAACTCTTTAGATTCAATCTCTAAATAGACGGAAATGATTTCCTAGATACATTTGCAGTTTTTATCTCTTTTTACTCTCGTTCAACAAACTCAGTACTTGAATGGAAAATTGTGTATCTCTGTTTTATAAATGAAGATATTTAAATAAATGTAGATAATTACTTTACCAATATTTATTTATTTATCATAACTGGCATACCTATAAGTCTTTCTACTTTAATTTAGGCATTTAATAAGAACTGAAGTCGTTAAAAGATACACTTTATTTAAGTTGCGACACCGACACATAATATATGTTAATATATACATATTTTACCCACATAATATAATTACAGAAATAAATATCATTTTATTTCATCATACCATATATGATATATTTAAAAAACGAAAGAATATTTTTTCAAATCAGTAATCTTAAGTAATAAATTAATACTTGTCTAGAACATAAGCATAATATTAAAACGGATATATATAGGTACGCTATAAAGACCGTTGACGAAGAGTAATTTGAATAGTATTCACAAATCCCTAAGCTGAGCTTCATAGTACACGGTTTCCTACATTTCTACCGAGTTGTAAACAAACGTCTCCAGGGTCTTGAAACAAGTGATACTCGTTTCTAAACTCTCTCCGGCTCTGTCGGATTGTCTCGGGAGACTCTGAGACTAAAACAATAGAATGATGTTGAACCTGTACTTGATCAATGCACTATTATAATATTACCAACTTTCCTGAGCTAGTTTTGTTCTATTGAAACAGTTCTATTCTAACTATTATAAACTTCATCTGTTTGTTTAGTTGTATTTAAAGGGTAAACATAGGTATTTGATTTTGGTCTGTATTTTAACATTTTGAGTGTCCGATAACAATCCTGAATTTCCAAATAAACATCTCTTGAATACACAGGCCAGTATCGTTATTCTTTCAAGATAAATATCGTTTAAACTTTTAAAAATGCATACGATTAATCGTATTGCAATCGAGAAAATACACAGACGATTGACCCTATACTGGCATAAGGTAAATATAGCTGTCACAGGCCAGCGCGCGGCCCTCTGTAATCGTTTCAACGTATCGACGTGCGACGCCGAGCGACGGCTGTTAGATTAACAAATTAGTTTTATTTATTTAGACATCTCTTTACAATCGGTTCATTTGTGTTCTTTAAACTTTGTTTTCTGCATTTTTGTAATAATGTTATTCACTTTGTTTATTTAACACGACCGACGATTCAGGTTGACGGATGGGCTTATTATATTTTCGGGTTACTACATACTGTTCAATACGTTTATGTTCTGTCTTGTATATTTAAAATCAGAAAAACATTTCACAAGTACTAGAATCTAGACTATATATAGAGGTAAGATAATGTTCATACAAACATACTCTTTCATCAGCATTTGAGAGTATAAAAATCAGATCTCTGTTTTTCAAGTCTGCAAAATGGGTCCACCATACGTAATCAGTATTGCCGTGATAATAAAACCACTAAAATTATCACTAACCTGGTCTTTATCAATCACCATTCTCTTCGGCGACCTGTAACCTAACTTTCATACTACTGGGCAAACGTCTCCTCACACGGAGAACAAAGGAGAACTTATCGCTACTCAATGCTAAGACACACAAGATTTAAAATCAATATAACTTGTACCTAAGTTTATCTCAAAACCAGAGCGTATATTGTGCACATAATTAAGTTCCAATCTCGGTCATTCTCGCCCAGCTTCTATTAATCGCCAATTAAGAGCACACGAGCTTAGACAGAGACTCAACAATGTTGGTGTTGGTTATCCACCACAATCAAAGTGATAGCGGCTAGTTGTTAGAGTGGCTCGTATCCACATAATCTTGAGTAATTAACGCATCAATCGGTTTGTTTATTGTCAATTTAACCTTACCTAAGTTACTTACATAGAAACTACATAGTAAATATTATTTACAGGACAGTACTGTAAATTAATAAAAGTATTTGGTCCCAGACTGCCTCATTGGCCAAGTGGTCGCAAGTGTGACTGCCGGGCAAGGGACATGGGACTCATAACATAGATAGTGAAAAGTGGGTGTAACATTGCACAGTGGCACTAAGTGCCGCAATGTGCACCTCTGCCTACCCCTACGGGGATAAAATGGCGTGATGTTATGGTATGTTATTTGGTCCCATGTGTCTGTGTTCTAAGTTAGAGTTCATAATATTTCATTGCAGCAGTTTCTATAGATTATATTAATCTCATACCGAAATGTCGAAAATGAGTTAAGGAGAAAGACATCTCTCCCTAACTCAACAAATCCAAACGGATAAAGAGTGAGTATCTTCAGGACAATAGTACATTCACTTCTATTATCATTAATTAATTAAAGGCTTAAGTCATTTACAAGAATTGATAAAGTCAATATATTGTCTTTAATCTGACTCGACAACTTACAAACTCGGAGTTACAAAGTCACACAAAAATAATAGATTTGTAATAGCAAAGCAGTAACACTGACATTTACAAAAAAACTATTTCAAAATCAATATTTACAGCATGAATTTTAAATAACTGCTTTCGCGCAGCCCTTTGATTTGCCCTCGAGTCGGTAGAACAATCGAAATACAGACTTAATATTAAAAGAAAATCTAAATAATTTCGTAGCGCTTTTCATTAACACTGAATTTAGCCCTTCGCACGTAATATCAGCTGATTGATAAGCGTGGGGCAACGACCTAATGACCAGCCCAAATACTCGTCCACCATATTTGCTTGTTGAAAGATTGAGGTAATTGTGAGTTTATTTTTAAAAATTTAGTAACCTAATATCAAGGATATAAACATCAAAGATAAATATATATTGACCAAGGCAAAACAACTTAGCAGCGATAAAGTATTTGTTTAAAATTCACGTTATAATACTAACAATAAACAGTTGCAGTCAAATAGTACGATATGGAAATAAATCAAATGGCATTTCGAGGCACGCTGGGGTTCCCTCGTGACATGCACGGCACACGAAACACGCGACGCAGTGCCTCAAACGTACGATCGCACAATCATCGAACTATTTCTATGACGGTCTCACAAGTCTATATATGGGAAAACTACCTCTTTCATATTTTTCCATTCCAAATTCTAAAGCAGAAAATATCGCTTCAAGGGGGAGTATTTACATAGTTAAAGGAGTTTGTAGTTAGTTAGTAATGAGTTGAAGTATAAAGATGGTTAAGTTTCGACTTCGAAGTTTCTTTTCAGTGATGGGATAACAGTAGATAAATGAAGATTCAGCTTTTAAGAGTAGTTTGATAATTCTATCCTAGTATCAGGAACAACGAAGTAAGCGTAACGTAAGTTTTGACGTTAAACTAGTAATACGTAACAGTGCTTTTCATGTTAAACAATTCTAATGAGCTCTGTTCTTGTCTTATGGCAATTTCTTATTTCATCTTATTTTTAAAAAAAACATGCACAAGGATTTTCTTCTGTGTTGTCGTTTACAAATATACAAGTTCACATACACACGACACCCAGATCCGAAATAACAGCGTGGAACACACAAATAGTTGCTCATTGCGGTAATCGAACCCGCTGTACTATTCAAAGCAGCCAGTCGCCCAACTACCACGCCAACTGTGCAATATTCTACCAATTAAACCCATTTTTTCATATACATAATGGGAGTTGTTGTCATCAAGATTAAGAGTGTCCTAAATATCAGATTAATCTGTCGTCAGAAAGAAGATAAAATTACAATCGCCAATCGATAAAATTTGACCCAAACATATACCTACCTACATAATAAAAACAAATAATAAAAAGGTATACGAGATTTCAATACACAACGCAAAATACTACATAACGCTAGAAACATTTTCAACTACAGTTAGAACGCTGGAAACGTTCAGTGAAACATTATATTCCTGGAATAAACTTTGAGATAACTGTAGTAAATAAGGTTTTACATAATATACTACATAGATGAATATAGTAGTGGGCGTGCCCGATGGACGAGATATACACCAATAGCATACAAGTACTGAAAGCTTTTACATAAAGGTGCATTGTGTGTAAATAAAACGTCCGCAAATCAAATTCTCGGGAGACGAGCGCTGCAAAAACTCTGTTAATAAAACGTCACTAAGCTGCGTTTACATAGTTGCGCAGAGATAGACATTTCAACGTCCATACAAAGTATCTCTGCGGGATTTTGTGGTACTTTGTCCTTATTTTAAGTTTGACGTTTCTTTTTTACGGACGCAACGATTTGCATTTAATACCTTTCCTAGTTCTGTTTTTCAAAATAAAGTTAACATCAACAGTCTATGTCAGTCCATTCCTGGGCTTGGTATAATCTCCATGTTTAGCAGGTGATTGTGGAGAGGAGATTGCGGTTTAAAAAGTTGAAATTTATCAGAAAGTGTTACTGTCCCGTCTTTGCCATAATTGTGGCATTTTTTGGTACCTTAATCGGCTTTTATGATACCCACGGGAAGACTAACAACTAACAAATATATATATAGATAAGAACTATTTATGTTGCACCTCATTATTGTACACTTCATTAATGATTGCCAATGATTAAAACAAACCTCTTCCAAATTAATGTTTTTAATAAATTGACCGACTAATGAGAGGTTGCGTCGAGTTGCTGCGCAGTTATCGGCCACTCAATATAAAATTGAACGTTAATTGGAAGTACTCCATAATAGTGGGCAGACAAATATTTTGCGGACAAGCGTCCTTAACATCGTTTATTGTTGTGCATTTGGACGTAAAATGCGGTATTTTTGCTGCTGTTTTATTCGTTTATCAAGCAGTTCTTATGTCAATATTTATCAGTTTTCATTATTTTCGTTGGTAAACCGACCACTGCGTTCGATGTTGATAAACTTTTTGC